CTCTAAAAGGCAATTGAATATCTTAAGAAAGAATTTGAGATAAAAGATCTTGAGAAGACAAAACTTTGTCTTGGTCTGCTAATTGAACATTTAGCAGACGAGATCTTTATCCATCAATCTGCCTATACAGAAAGGGTCTTAAAACATTTTTACATGGATAACGCACACCCCATTGAGTACACCAATGGTTGTCCGATCACTTGAAGCGAATAAGGATTTGGTCCGACCTCCAGAAGAGGATGAGGAACTCCTTGGTCCCGAAGTACCCTATCTCAGTGCAATTGGTGCACTAATGTATCTTGCTAATGCTACAAGGCCTGACATAGCATTTTCTGTTAATTTACTAGCAAGATATAGTTCTTCTCCTACACGGAGACATTGGAACGGGATTAAGCATATATTGCGATATTTAAAGGGAACTCTTAATATGAGTTTGTTTTATTCTAACAAAGACAGTAGAGATCTTGTTGGTTATGCTGATGCATGTTATTTATCAGATCCCTATAAAGCTAGATCTCAAATCGGGTAAGTGTTTACATATGGAGGTACTGTCATATCATGGCGCTCCACAAAAAAATCTATTGTTGCTACTTCTTCAAATCATGTTGAGATAATAGCTATCCATGAATCAAGTAGGGAATGCGTATGGTTGAGATAAATTATTCATTTTATTCGAGAAAAATATGGTTTGGAATGTGAGAAAAGACCCACAATTTTATACGAAGACAATGCTGCATGCATAGTGTTGACATCCAATTTTGTCCCACCTTTTTTCTACATAATTTCCTTGCGCTTCCTAGTCATTAATGCTCTAATAGTATATTATTACTATTTATTTTATGATTAGTTATTACCATTATTATAATTATATTATTAGTAGTATTGATATCACTGTTAACAATATTATTAGTAATTATTATTATTATTATTATTATTATTAGTAGTAGTAGTAGTAGTAGTAGCAGCAGTAGCAGCAGCAGTAGTAGTAGTAGTGGTAGTTACTATTAATACCATAATTATTATTGTTAATATTGTGTATAGTATTAAAATATTATATTTTTATTTATACAAACTAATTACTTATCCAAAGAATATAGTAGTTATTTATACAAACTATAGTATTAAAATATAGTAGTGTTATATTTTTATTTAGCAAGACAAAGGAAGCTCAAAGAAATTAATAAGAAGAAAGAAAATGCCATCAAATTAGGCTCAAAGGGATACCCATCTTCAAGACGAGCCCAAATCTGCCAAAATAATTAGCCCATGTAGTCAAATTCTTTTTGAAAACTAACAAGCCCAAATATAACCTATCAGATTTTCTTTTAAGCCCAATACGCCTAGCCCATCTAAAAGAATCCTCCAGAAGCTCTTATCTCGGCCGTAGGATTAAAATTAAATGATCCAATGATCCTCCTTTCTTAAAATTTAGACCTCATCATATTCAGATTTGCTAGGGTTTCCCCATCTCATTCTAGCCGCCATCTTTGTCTTCTCCCTAACCCTTTCCTCTCTTGGACAAAATTCCAACTTGCTTTCACCATGAAATCAGAATGGTTTCACCATTTTCATCAAAGTCTTCATTCTCAATCTTGCATATTCAACGAAAAGCCTAAAACTTTGGTATCAAAGTTGACCAAATCGCTGTTTCTCTGAAGCAAGAGGACGATTTTATTGATCTTCTTTCTATCACAGTTTGGACGGATCTTGGAAGAGCATTTTTTGAATTTCAAACGGATCATTCAATTCCCGCTTCCAAAATCCTAGTTTTCTCCTATAAATACTCCTCAACTCTCAAGCCGAAAGATCATCTTTTGGAATCCTGGAAAATAGTTAGAATGCGGCAAAAATCGAGTCAACAAGTAGCTCTCTTCTTTTCTGTAATCTCGGTCCTGTTTAGTTCGCTAAAAAATAAAGTGTCGATCTTGATACGTGGACGGAGTAGATCTGAAATCTCAAAGTTCCAATTCACTGCCCAACAAGAGGTAAAATTCGGCCCTTTTTCTGATTTCTCTTTCCTTTAAGTAACACGCCTACTTAGGAAAATCATGTTTCAGTTTTCTTTCTTTAGTTGTACTAAAATGTGTTAATAATATTTTGACACTGTGTCCTTAAAAGAACTTGTCGTTTGGGTATTTTGTCTAATGTATGTATAATTGCACATCACGTTGTAACTTCAAATCTTTTCTTGCATTTGATAATAAATATGTCATGTATATTGTTAGTGTTTCCTTAGGGTATCAGTCTATTAATTTGAATTTCAGTAGTTAGTGACATGATTTCAGGTCTAATCACTATTTTGCTTACCTACATATTTGAATAAGAAAATGTCTTCTGATACTTATTAATGCGTCTCTTTTCTGTTTTCGCGTGCTAATAGAAAAATTCTGACTTTAAGCTTATTGCAAACTTTAGGTGCCATGCCCATAGGCTTTAAAAGGCTTGTTTCAAATAGACTTTAAAATGTTCACATGTTTATCTTGTGGACATTATGCCTTCACGTTCTTCCATAAGATCCACATTAAATGCTAGCATCTTTGCTAATTTAACAGTAACTTTTAAAGGGGTGTAAAGTTAGTCTTTGTCATCTTTTTACTTTAATGTTCTGCTAGTTTTTTAATCTATGGCATTATGATGTGATAAGGACTTTATTCTAGTTTAGATGTATAGGGATCATGTCTTATAGGTTTAAAATATTATGTGAGATAATCCGGTGGTAACAGCATGTGTGTTGTCATGTCTTGACCTTATGTCACGATCCAAATCCGGTCGTGATGGCGCCCAACAACATTGCTAGGCAAGCCAGACCACAATCGTTCCCAAATTAACCGTAAACCTCAAACCGACAATCTAAAGAGATTATAATAGTTTTAGAATAATAATCCAATATTTATAATAGAATAATACTGAGAAAAACACGAAGTCTGATAAAACACTCCCAAAGACCTGGGGTCACGAGTCTANGGGGGTCTTGTTCCGAGACTCAATGTCGTTACCATACCCGACACTAGCATCTCGTCTTCACTTCTTCATCCACTTTTCTTGCCTTCTCAAAATACATCCGAACAGAAAGCTAGAGAGGCGAGAGGAGTTGGAAAATTCATCTCTTTCATTTGTTGTGACTATTGTATTTGCTTTTGGTGCTACTCGTTCCTATACAGTATATAATCTAGAATAATATTTATATGGCATATGGGTAGTAGACCAGTATGTATCTGAGAATTAAATCAATTTTGTCTAAGTCCAAAATGGAAGAAGTTAGGCTTGAAACAAGTTCCTTGCAAATGTTTAGAAAATCAATTCAAACGTCCTGAAATTCTTTAAAGTTTGAGTACGTTTTTTTCTAAAAAATGGATTTCTTAGTCAAGACATTTGTGGTTTATGATTTTGTTTAAGTTAACATGCTTTTGGATCTTTCTGTAGTTTTTGAAATCAAATATTTTAGGAGTCTAAACTAGTTTGCAGCTCACTTTTCAAGATAGGTCATGGAGACTACTTGACCAATTTTATCGCAACTGTTTTAAATGTATAAGGTTTTGTATCTAAGGCGTGAGTCATTTGGGAACAAGTTGATGTCCTCATTAATTTAACTTGCCATGTTTTATACATATATTTGACAATTATCCTTAATTAATTTAAGTCCAGTTGGTTAACCGTTCGATATGGATCTTAAAGGGTGCCTTAAAAACCTTCCCTTTGGATTAATTGAACCTTTATCTAGAATCTTTAGGTTAAGTAGACCATTAACATAGTTATACTTTATTACTTAACTTTCGGTGTCCTAATTCACCATAATTAATTAGGTGGCGACTCTTTAGTTAGTAATTAATTTAGGAATCACCAATTTGTTGTACTCTATATGGCCTGTGTTAAAATGGGGTATAACAGCTTGGCGACTCTGCTGGGGAATACTTAGGTTCTAACCATAACGGACTTAGTTAATTAAAATTAAGGCTTGTGCATTTATCTATTTGGATCTATAAATTATTTTACATGTTATAAACTACTTTCTTCGTATGATTGTTTATGTGTTAGCACTTTTATATAACTGCATTCCGTTTCACTTCCTCCACTTTTGAAAAATTCACACAATTCACACACCAAGCGGTTACGTGGTTTGCGGCCGTGCACTACTTATAAAACCTTTTTAGGGGAAAGTTCGTGGGTAAGTCGATCAGCGGTGCAGTCGACAGTCACGAGCTTTCCATTCTCAAGTTGTCTACTTGAGAGCAGACCGGTCTAGAAAAACCCACTCCTAGTCAATCTAGGATAGAGCTAAGCCAAAACCTTTTGTAAGATTCATGCATCATTTAAGCCTAAGATACTTAATACCCTTGGTGTATTAAGTCCATTAGCCAGCCTTACCAAATGTCCGAATGGGTTTACGACCCTAAGTGACACTTTTCATAACTTATGTGCACAGTTTGAAGGATAAATATGTCAATTATGTGGACCGTTTTCTCTAAATTAATTAACTTATAGGGAGAGGGAATATTTATGACAGGTTCGGCATCATCAAATAGATTGAAGAAGTTTAGTTTACTTAGATTAGAAAAGGATGTATATTGTATTTTCATTCTTCATGTAATTCTTTCATTCTTCGTGTGATTAAAAAAAAAACTATTCTTGTACTTTACTTTCTTTGGGAATAAAATTATTTATAAGAGTTATGGAATGACACATGATGGCATAATTATCCTTCAAATTATCGTTAGGCCTACCTCCGGCGCAATGAGGTCCTTCGCATAATAGGACGTTATAATCTATGTGCAGTAACATGCTATGTGCAACAATGTGCTTATATTTATGCAAAATATGTTATTTCCACATACTAACTTGTTTTCTTTTTTTCTTATTTTTCTTTTTTCCATTTTTTTTTTAAATTATTTTCTCAAGAGACAAAAGGTTGACTTGTGCTAAAAGGGGAACTGGCGGAGCACCCATATTTTACGCGGTCTAGAAGCAAGAGATCAGTCGCAGATTTGCCACCAGTATCTCAGATGGCTGAAGGGAATCTTTCCACTACAAATTTGAATTTGGTAGATGTGACTATTTCATCTGTTCCAACTCTCGCGCTACCTACAACAGATGACCCCCGCCCCTCAAGAGACCCAGAAACTCATTTAGAGGTCATTGCTCGTTTGGAACAGAAAATTGCTGAACTAAGCTACATAGTACAACAAAACAGATCATTTTCTCAAACTCCACCTCACATGACTCCTCTTCCTCATCGCATTCGCGAAAATATGCCTATACCACCCCCATTTCCAAACTTGGATGGACTTAATCGAGAAAATCAGTTCACCGCTCCTCAACCAATTCAAAATGTGCCACTGACTCACTCAGTCACTCAAAATGCTCCCCTTCAGTTCACAACCGCTCCTCCAAAGGTTCAATACACACAACTGACACATGATGTTACTAATACGCAGCAAGTTTCACCAATATATACTTATGCCACAGTCCCACCTATGACACAAACACTAGGACCATGTCGGCTAGATGTGGATCATTATGTTGAAGCCGAAAAGGAGGCAAGAGCAGTTGATGATGAAATAATAAATAGGAAGCTCAAGAGTTTGGAAGATGCTATGAGAGGTCTACGAGGGTTTGGTACTAATCAAAGTGTGAAGTACGTAGAGTTATGTGCATTTCCTGAAGTAGAGTTGCCAGCTGGTTACAAAATTCCAAAGTTTGAGAAGTTTGACGGATCGGGGAATCCTTTCTTCCACTTGAAGCTCTATTGTGAAAATTTAATTGGTGTGGGGCAGAATGAAGGGATAAGAATCAAATTATTCAATCAAAGTTTGAGTGGCAAAGCTTTAGAGTGGTACTCTAAACAAGATGTTACCAAATGGCATACTTGGGATGATTTGGCAAATGCTTTTGTCGATCATTACAAATTTCATGTTGAGATTGCTCCTGACAGAATTTCGATAACCGAATTAAAGAAGAAATCAACTGAATCATTTCAGGAGTATGCTATAAGGTGGAGGGAAGAAGCATCAAGGGTACACCCGCCAATGGAAGAGACAAAAGTGATAACCTATTTTATTCGGGCACAGGAACTTGAATATTATGAGCGGATGGTCGTAATGGGTGGAAAAACATTTGCAGAGGTAATCAAAGCCGGAGAAATGATCGAAAATGGGATCAAGACCGGGAGAATAACAAGTCTAGCAGCATTACATGCCACTAGCAAGGCTATCCAAACTGGTGCCCTCGGGAGTGGAAAGAAAAAGGAGAAAGAAGTTGCGGCTGTAATGGCTTTGGGAGGTACTTCATTTCACCAACGACAACCTTCGCAGTATCAATCAAACTCCCCTCATTCACAACATTTCCAATATTCGTCACACTCACCTTACCAAACTTCATCATCTTACCAGCCTCAACCGCCACAAAAATCATATCATGTTTATAACACACAACCAACACACCAAGCTCCACCCTCACAACAACCTCATCATCCCAACAATACACCCGGACTCCGTCCAAACAGGCCTGCTCGCAACTTCACACCATTAGGGGAGCCCTTAAGTGTTGTCTTTGAAAGGTTGCAAGCTTCAGGTTTATTGTATCCCGTGGAAGGAAGAATTCCAAACCCATTACCTAGAAGTTTTGATCCTACCAAGACATGTGCATATCATTCTGGGGTAAAAGGACATTCAACTGACCGTTGTTATGCATTGAAACACAAGGTTGAAGACCTCATTGAAGCAAAACAAATCAAAATCAGACAACCGGCACCAAATGTGAACAACAATCCACTCCCAAATCATAATGAAGCCTCGGTGAATATGATTGGAGTGGATGAAGAAGATGATGATCCGGCTAGATTCATAGTGCCTGTTAGGAGCATGGAAGATCATACATTTGTGGCTTTTACTTCTCCTATGATGATGATAAGGGGTTTTACACCCATTGAGATACTAGGAGTTGCATCTACACCTGTGGAAGTACTTCAAGCGCCAATTCAGTTACCAGTGGTCGATACTAGAGTTGTACCATGGAATTATCAACAGGCTGTGATGGAGTGCCATGGAAAGGAAACGACCATTATTTCGGGAATGACGAGGTCTGGAAGATGTTACACTCTAGAAAAACTAACTAGGTTGAGTCAAGGCAATGAATGCAATGTTCCACCCAAGAAGGTTGTGACAGACGCAGAAGCACAAGAGTTTCTGAGAAAGATCAAGGCGGGTGAATACTCAGTTGTGGATCAATTGAAGAAGACCAATGCCCAGATCCCAATCCTATCTTTGCTTTTGACTTCGGACATACACAGAGATGCACTCCTGAAGATTCTGAGTGAAGCATATGTGCCGACTGAAACAACAGTGAAGCAATAACTGGAATGGTTGGACGTATGCTTGATTGTCACCTAATCAGCTTTGATGATGAAGAATTGCCACCGGAGGGATGTAGTCATAACAAGGCGCTCCACATAACTGTTAAGTGTCGTGATATGTTCATATCTAGAGTGTTGATTGATGGAGGTTCCGGGGTTAACATTTGTCCTCTCACTACTCTAAAGAAGATAGGGTATGATTTCAGTAAACTCAAGCCAAGTGATATGAGGGTTCGAGCATTTGATGGTGCCGCGAGAAGTTCAATTGGAGAGGTAGAATTGAACGTGTTGATTGGGCCAGTCGAGTTCATTATGGGGTTTCAAGTACTTGATATTTCCACAACATACAACCTGTTATTAGGAAGACCATGGATTCATCTGGCTGGGGTTGTGCCATCGACCTTGCATCAGACCGTCAAGTTTAAGTGGGATCAGTAACAAATAGTCATACATGGAGAAGGTGATACGTCTATCTATCGGGAGCAATCTATCCCATTCATTGAAGTAACAGGAGAGTTGGATGGAGCTACATACCATGCATGGGAAATTGTGGATCCTACTTGTGTAGCTGAAGGGAGCCAAACCCAGGAGCCAAAGATGTCTTGCGCTGCGATCATGGTGGCAAAGGAGATGCTAAAGAATGGGTATCAACCAGGATTGGGTTTGGGAAAAACATTGAATGGACGAGTTGAGCCTATAGTCCCGCCCGGACAACAGTTTTCTTTTGGTTTGGGATACAAGCCTACTCAACAGGAAGTGAAGGAAGCACGACAGAAGAAAGGAAAAGAGATCCATCTACCAAAATCAATCCCAACCATTGACCAAACTTTCCTAAAGCCTGCTATTGTCCAGACTCCAGGTGTACCTGTTGAGATTTCATGTGATGATATTATAAAGGGTGTCAAGAACTTGCTCGTGGGAGATGAAGATGATCGTGATATGGTATTTGCAGACATTGCTGAAACACCGACCACATGTGTTGTCGAACCGGGATTTGTTTTGAAGAATTGGACTTGCATCTCAGCCCTGGTTCGCCAGGAGTTTCAGTAGTTTAAGTCATGAATTTCTTTTGTAATTGGCCGGAGGCATAAGTTAGAACCTATTTTTTGTCATGTCGCCTCTATGTTTGTTACGGCCATCTAAGTTAGGATTCCATTTTCTTGTAATGAACTACGTCTGGCCTGATTCCTATTGGATACGTAGGCAGCCTAATCTGGGTTCGGCCCCTTTATTATAAAAAAAATTTTAAATCCCCTATTTCATTTGAACTACGTTTAGCCTGATTTCTGTCTCGACACCTCTTGACAAGAATACGTAGGCAGCCCGAGATGAGTTCGGCCCCTTTTAATTTAAAACTCCTTATGCCCTTGGTTTGTCGAACTATGTTTTGGCCTGATCCTCGTCTTGACTAGATACATAGGAAGCTCTATGCAAGTGTTCGACCTTTTCATTATTCAAGTCCAAGTGTTTTAGTACCAGGAACTGGGGCAGTTTCTTTGGTAACCTATCCAATAATACTTCTCAATTTTTCAAATTTCATAATATTTTTCGTTCAAAACCAAGTTTTCTAGCACCAAAACTTGGGCAGATTTTGTTTTAAACCAATCCAAAACTATTTTCTCAATTTTCCGAAATCTATACATGTTCCATTTAAAATAAAGTGCCTTGGGACTAGAAACTGGGGCAGATTTTTTTTTTTAATCAAATATTTTCCTTAATATTTCTTTAAAAATTTCTCACCTTCCAACTACTTAGAATAAAATACCTTTAGGACTAGAAATTTAAGCAAATTTTCCTTCGAGTCAGTTATATAGCCTTCAAAGCTTTCATTATTTAGAATGGAAATTGGGGTAATTCTTTAGAATTATCACATAGTTGGCCTTAAAGATTTTGAGATTCTAAGTAGTGTCTGATATGTACAGGTCAAGTCTATCTAAGAGTTTGATAAGTTTAAACTTAGCTCGTCACAATTATTTACATCATTAGAGCCGTTAAGTAGAGCTTTTTCATCTAAGTCATCTAAATTGTGCTGCTCTGCGATTCAAAAGAAATTTTGTCACTTACTACTGAAGCTCTTTGGTAAAGCATACATGTATGGTGGAAGTGTCGAAGCATGTGGATGTGATCAAGACAAGAACCCGCTTAAGGATTAAGTTCCCCAAATGAGCACAAGTCAACCGATTTTCTTTAAACTCACAATTTTTCTTTGATGAGACAGGTTCAATATTGATTTGCACAAAGATGCAGATTCAACTCAAACTCAACTCCTCTTCGTGAACATAGATCTAGATGTCAGACGTGATTGTGGACGTGAATATTGATGGGGATGTGAACGTAGACGTGGATCGTGAATTTATGTTGCTTTAAACTCTTTTAGCATAGATGCTATTCAACTTTTTCTCAAATTCTAATTGTGGATTTGGACGTGGATTTTTCTACCCAACCAAGGGTTACGAGCGTAAATTCTCATATATCCAAATTATTTATATATTTTATTGCTAATATTTTCTATCTTGTGGCCTTTTGTGGACATGAAAATGGACATGGACGTGGATCGTGGATTAAAATCCTTTCAATATGGATATTGTTCAACACTTTTTCTAATCGTGGATGTGGATGTGGATGTGGATTAAGCTTCTAAACCAACAATTTTAAGCATTTCGCTTCTTTCAATGTGGATGTGGACATGGACGTGGACGCGGACGTGGATATGGATATGATCGTGGATTTATCTTGCTCTTTCGATGTGGACGTTATTTAATTCTTCATTAAGTATTGAACGTGGACGTGGATGTGGATTTACCTTTTCAGGCATGGGTTACGAGAGTAATTCTTTCAACCCGATATATTTACATATATTTCTTTATCGCAAATATTTATTTTTAGCTTGTGGCATTTCATATGGAGACAAAATTAAAGCTCATTCAAATCGTGGATCATATCTTAGCAGTGAACTGGGACAATTGCTGAAGACAGAGTTAAGCTCGTCAGCAAGAGGCTAAGGATCTACTCCCAACTACATTCTCCGTAAGTCCATAGTTATGTAGGTAAATCAAGTTCAATTGTGTCTATCTCTCAGTCATTAATTGTTTGACCCAGTCTCACCGTAAATCTTATTCAAGCTACATATAGCCAAGTTCTCTTAAAGCCCGAGATATATAGAAATCTCAAAAATCGGGGTTCAGCTGCCTCTTTTCTAAATTTTCCATCAAATCCAACTTTACTCATTCATATCCACACCAGTTCAGCCAGGACAAAATTGGTTGCTATGTCAATTTCTTTGCCCGAAAACTCTTTTATCATTTCCGGTCAAAGAGGGGCAGCTGTTGACATCCAATTTTGTCCCACCTTTTTTCTACTTAATTTCCTTGCGCTTCCTAGTCATTAATGCTCTAATAGTATATNTAAAACGCTCCCAAAGACCTGGGGTCACGAGTCTAGAGCCTCTAAAACAACCTGAATAACAATATCTGAACGAAAATACTCAAGTCTGGAAATGTATATATAATTAAAGCTGAAATAGGAAGAGTAGTCAGGTCCTGCGAACGTCAAGCAGCTACCTCAACAACTCTGATAAGCTCTGGAAAACAAGGACTGCTCAGCTAAGCCTCCGGTGTACCTGAATCTGCACACAAGGTGCAGGGAGTAGGGGTGAGTACTACCGACTCAGTGAGTAATAAGCATATAAAATGTCTGAAGATAAGAAATCCACGAAATGCCACAAAGAAAAGCTAAAACTAACAATCCAACACCTAACTACGAACTAACAGCAAAACAACTCCAAATATGTCAGTCAAGTATAATGTAAAGATGCAACGCAATGCACATGACTGCTACGGCGCGTAGCCCGATCCATTTAACGTCGACGGCGCTCACTGGGGGTGTGTACAGACTCCGGAGGGGCTCCTTCAGCCCAAGCGCAATATAATCATATCATTCGCTGCGGCGTGCAACCCGATCCATACTCAGTCCACAATATGCATATGAGTCACGTAACAGATTCAATTAATTTCCCAATTTCCAATTTATTAAGGAGAATATACTTTAGATATTTAACTTCAGGAAAAGTGACTTAGCGTTTCATAACAGTGATTAAACACAGGACTGAGATCAATGATTATACAAAACATGCTATCACAATGACAATCATCCTCTAAGGTTGCTACAGATCGGCACAAGCCCCAAACACGGCAATAAGCCCAGATATATTCAATACAGGGTGCGTATCAGTCACCAATATAGAAATATTCTTGTTCGGGATGGACTAAGTCTCAATCCGAAGTCATAACTAATCCCGCACCTGCCATGGGGTGCGAGTCACGCCCTACAATAGCGTCACAATGTGATAAGCCGGGGTTTCAATCCCTCAGGCCATCATAAACACCAACTACTCACCTCTAACCGGCCGTAGACTGGTCCGCAATGCCTTTTCCCTTTGTATCGACCTCCTCGCGCGTCGAATCTAGTCAAAATCACAGCGAATACATAAATATGGGTTAAAGAAACATAACCCAATCAAAAATACTCGAAAAGTACTAAAATTCACGAAGTTGGTAAAACCCGAGCCCCGGGCCCACTTCTCGAAAAATTCCGAAAATCACACCAACGGATTCCTCGTCTCGCCACGAGTCCGTGCATATAAAGTTCACCAAAATCGGAGCTCGTTTGACCCTCCAAATTCCATTTTTATATCACAGCTTTCCAAGCCCTAGCTTGACCCGTTTTTGATGAATTTTCTACAGTTTACATGTAATTTCTACCATAAATTCGAATATTTAGGCCAAGGAACTTACCTCCAAGTGATTCTCAGTCAAAACCCTCGAATTTCCTTGTTCAAAGCTCTTAAGAACGTCAACAATGGAGGAAAATATGAAAGGGTCGCGGATGAAATATTATTTTAAAACCCTTCTGTCGCCCAGCAATTTTCGCTTCTGCGGTCCCGTTTTCGCTTATGCGGGACCGCTTCTGCGGCCACATTTCCGCTTAAGCGGTTTTCACTTA